AGTCAAAATTTCGAAATACACATCAGTCGCCTCGATTTTTGATCCTAGTTCCGAATATGATATTCTTTTACATAGAAGTTGAGTTCTGTTGGAGAAAACTGGGAATTCTGCCTTCTACCACGATTTGTTGGAATTCCTACTTCCGAGGCTTTTGACGAAAACTTTGTAGAGATGAAAAGCAAGAGAACCTCATGAAACCTCTAAACCCTGAGTTACATTGGATTTGGTCCTGTAGTTTCGGAGATAGTTTTCTGATGTAACATGCCTATTGTCGTCCATTTGTGCAATATTTATGCGAATTTCGAGCCATATTTGAGCTATTCCAGTCAGTGCGTCTGGGAAATGGTTGATCTTCACTTGATCATTGAAATCTTTAGAAAGATTTCTCAGAGTATTCCTCTGTTTTTTAGTTGTAAAGTATCTAACACTGGAGTTATTACAGAACTCGTCTTTGTCTGATTGAGTTCCAGTTCGTTTAGGTGGTTCTGGCTGTTGTTGATGAGAATAGTTTAGCTTTTTATGTGAAACTCCATATGGCATTTCATCTATCTGTTGCGTCGTCGACTGAGTGTAACATGTATATTCACCATATTGAGCATAAGTCATCATAAATTATTCTTTATTCTAAAATTTCGTCGAAAATGCTGTTGCATTCCAAAATAGAGTACTCACAGTGGGCAATCACATGAAAGTTAGGTGAAAAAACACAAGTGAGTTTTTCGAAAATTCAAATACTATCTAACATACAATAACCAATCCCCAATTTATTCGTGAAAAAATTTTGATCCAAGTGCTGAATACGGTTGAGAAAAGTAAGTCGGAATTTTCGGCCAGTTTTGTCAAAAAGCCGTTGTTTTGGCCAGCTAAAACAAATTCTAAGAAACTGAAACACATATATTCGGAAAGCTCAGATTGCCAGCTATCGATTCAAATGTTAAACTTTTTATTTTAAAGAATTTCATAAGGAGAAAAATGGGGTTTTCCGTAAACTAGGTGTTTTCCCACTACACGCGCGTAGTGTAGTATAGAGTGCGCCATTTAGCACCACGCTCCGTTCGTGCTGAAACTTTCAGGAAATATTCTTCTGTATGTGGTGCGTCTATATAATTAGCAGAAAGTTACAGAAATGTTTTTTGCCAGAGTTACAGATTTTACAAAAACCGCACGTTTTTGGCTGGTTTTTTGCTTAAAAGTTACCTTTCCCCAGATATAAGGATAGATTCGGAATCAGCGGAAAAAACTACATCAAACAATCATTATCTCTTAAATTTCCCAATGTGTTATAAGTGTCAAAAACCACAAAATGTTTATTTAAACTGTTTAACGTGCGGAAGAGAATCATGTAATTATTATGCTGGACATAAACGTCCATTTTCATGCACCTTTTGTAGAATTAAAAAACTTACAGGTATTCAGAACGAATAAAAAATAAACTATTAAAGCTATCAAATCAGTTTTTGAATGAGTTTTTATAAGTATTTTAATATTTGTTTCATTTAACTGTAATTGGAGTCCCTTGCATCCTTTTGAATACCACTCGAAAATGGAGAGATTTTTAGCAGATTTTCACATCAACGGATAGAAAACTGTTAGTTTTATCTTCATACTCAATAGCACGCATATCCGATTAAAAATGGCTTAGAAATACGCAAAATACTAAGAAACTTTGTGCAAGTGGCTGGAATTACCTCTTAAGGGAAGTACCCCAACTGTTTAAACGCTTTTGGCCTGAAGCTTAGTGGACAATAGGTAATCGAGTGTGCTGAACCCGAATATCACATTGGTTTGGGCCCAATTTTAATTTGGAGACCCGGTTTTCAAGTTGGAAAACTTTTCGAAACAAAAAATGTTTTTGATCCAGCCATATGAAAGAGCTTATCGCCAAACCTAAGCAAAATCATTTTTTTAGATTTTAGAAGAGGTTTTAAGCGGGTTTTAAACGTGCAAAACTTAAAACTGCAGCGGTTTGGCGATGAGCTCTTTCATATGACTGGATCAAAAACGTTTTTCGTTTCGAAAAGTTTTCCAACTTGAAAACCGGGTCGTTGAAAATCCGGGTCTCTAAACTAAAATTGAGCCCAAACCAATGTGATATTCGGATTCAGCACACTCGATTACCTATTGTCCACTAAGCTTCAGGCCAAAAGCGTTTAAACAGTTGGGGTACTTTCCTCGTTAGTACTCTATAGAACGTTGCTTTTCTATCTGTAGTCTCACCATTTGCAAGGAGAAAAATGCTTTTACACTTTAGATGTTTATGCCATTATAAAAGAAGAATATAAAGGCCCGAATTAGTGTCCAAATAGTATTGGAATAGAGGAAGAGCTGAATAATGACCGACCGGAATATATTTAGAAACGCCATCGGAAGTTTTTCGAATGTTATGAAATAAATTGTTTCCTGATTGTGACTCACAAGATACCATTGATAAAGTTTTGACACCAGATCTAATTAAACAATATGGTATATCAAAAACACTCGATGTATGTGTACACAGCGGTTCAGTCCCGATTCGTCAACAAATTAAAGACGAACCAACAATAGCTCTGTAAAGTTTTCTGTGAACTATACCACTATTTTTCTACTCATATGTATGTATAAGGTTAATTACATAAGAAAAAGTGTCGGCAATTAAGAAATTGTCGGAAGCCTTTGAGTTAGGTGTGTCGGCTTTTCAAGAAAAAAAAACTGTCGACAAATCGGGATTAAAAAGTGAGTCGATCGTTTCGGAAAAAAACAATGTCGACAATTAAAGGCCTGTCGACGAATCGGAAATACACCGTACACAGCAGATTACAATTAATTAATTATTTACTTAAAAATCAAATAAACGAAATGGAGGTCAATAGACATTGAAATTGGTGTATCTAAAATCTCATCTCAATTATGTTCTCTGTATATAAATAAATTGAATAAAGAACATAAACGAGTATTTTATTGATCGGATTCAACACATGGAGAAAGTTATCAAAAGTGCGATTTCATCTCAGATGAACAGCAATAAATAAAATAAAATGTCAAACGTATTGTGATTGAACAATTTGAAAAATATTTAACTAACATTGAATGCAATAGGAAACGATCGATCATTAAACATAGTGGGGATAGTGGCACTTTAGACACACAATGGGAGAAATAGATGACGTTAATACGTACAGTAAAATTTCTCTATTATGAACACCATCGGGACTGAAAAAAACCGTTCACTATACGGAGGTGTTCACTTTAGAGAGGTGCATTTCCAGCGAAAATCGATTTTTCGGACTTTTTGAAAGCGTTCATAATAAGGAGGTGTTCATTTTAGAGAGGTGTTCACTATGGGAGGTTTTACTGTAATATGTCCTTTGCTTGATGGCAAAAGTCAATTGTGAAAATTTCTTTCATGTTGTGAAAATCTGGTTTTGAACATGTGCAAGTTTTCTGTAATTTGTCTCTATAAACAGCAGATTTTTTCGTTCGTTAATAAACGTTTACAGCAATATTGTGCGCAGAATAAAGTCAAATCATTATTATTCATTGTTGATCAACTAATCACTAATTGTTGATAATTCATCGTGTTATAAATCAAATATCATGTATTCTAATGACATGTGCGAGTGAGTACTCTGCTTTGATGATAATTCATCGTGCGAAAAAAATAAGTAAAAATTGAAAAGTTTTATAGAACTGTTAACCCCACGTTGCAACGGGCAGCGTTGCTCCTCTTCGGCGTGAAGTGTCCCTCCAGTTTTTCGTACAATTGCGAAAAGTATACGGAAATGTCGCCACAGTTGAAATAAGCGATAAAGAAGGTCATTCGATATGTAAAAGAATGATTTGCGTGAAAATTGATTCTACCCCTTTGTTTTCAACTTTGTTCATGGAGAAAAAATGATTTTTTTTCAAGCTCATATTATTGTTAATTTGAGTCTGTTAACATTTTCAGTTTTCCTTGAATATTCTGTTGCACACATCCCAAGACTAGTAATTGTTATGGGATGTTTGTTTGTGACTCGAGCATTCAAATGAGATATTGTGAGTGAGGTAACTTAAAAGGAGTCTTTAAACAACAAATGTCATAACAGTACATTACGTAACATCATCGTCTGATAAACGTGTAAGTGTATAGAAAATTAGAATACGACGCTAGACATAATGAATGTAACTAAGTCATCATACAAAGAATATAGAGATACTTAAATGATCTAACATCGAAAAATTTTAACGGATATCTTCATAAATTTACAATGGATTATCAACGTGAAATGAACCGAATCGGTCATTCGTATTTGACGATTTACATATGTCTAAAGCACATATTGCCCATCATAACTGATTCAAAAGATGTAATCATAACTTTAATATCAACCTCCTTTTTTTTGTTTATACATCTATAGAATTCTAAATGGTTCCCACTAGTTATAGATGTATATTATACAAGTTATATTAATGTCGTTAATGAGGGATCCTTCTCAAATGGCCAAAAGCTTTTCTAATAAAATTTTTAGGGGTGCTAACGTCGAATTTGATAACAGTTTCGTAAACTGAGGCGTTTAATATAAAACCCAAGTCTTTGAATATCCATCAAGAGCTCTTGACTGATCGATTCTAATTCATTCAGTTTGTAAAACTCATCGAGTTACTTGGGTCAAAGATTGATACGACTGCCAAACAAGTTTAACATAGCCATGAAAAATTTATCGAAAGGTTGCTCTCTGATAATTTTCTCGAGAAAAAGGAGATGCGATAACAGATCCCTCTTGAAAAAATTTTAAATAAATCAACATATCATTCTTCTCGCTAGAATGATTAATGCTCCATCACCGATGCATATCTAAAATGTAGCGTTATGACGTTTACCGTCTATAATAATCATTTGAAACATTTTAATGAAATGGTACAGATAATTTTAAGACTGTATCAAATAAAGATACATTCTTCTTTTTTTTGAAGCGAGAAAATCTATTAAATTATCCAAAAGATGGACCGATATATGAAAAAAAAAACAACCTGATTGAATTTTAGATTACGAATAATCGTCTTTTTATATCTTCAAAATCCGTTTGCAATTCGACAGTCAGTTTTCGAAGTTCATTATGTGTGCGTAGCGTTGAATCTTCTAAACATTCTTTCAGTTCATCAGTTTTTTTCAACCATTTTTGATGATCATTTTCTTCAAACAATGTTTCATTATACATTTTTTCCATTTTCGACCGATGTCTGTAGTAACCAACTTCACAAGTAACAGTTTCTTTATCATTAATCTTTACATCATACGTACATAATTCTAATTTCCATAAATGATATTTAAATCCTAATAACGACTGACCTTTACTTTCGTTATTACCACTAAATGTAATTGGTGTTGAATGTTTGGATAGTTTTAGAATAATCTTAGAAAATATTTCACATAAAATTCCCAGTTTAGCTTGTAAGCTCAATATTGTCTCAATTCGAGCACGCAGATGTTCACGTTTAGCGTTTTGACGAAATTGCTTAACATCGGCAACAGCTAAACCGCCCTAAAAGATGTAAAAGAGTAAATTCATTTTGAATAAAATAACGCTACAAAAGACAATCAATACGATATTAGAATTGAACATGGGAAACTTTATGACACGGCCATTCGAATATATCATCACTGATGCTAGTCACCGATATGGATTCTTAGTGGAGAAGCTGCTGATCCATGGATGTAGATGGAACCGTTTAATTATATCAATATGATCGAAAAATTCTAAAAATTTGTTCGCTCTAAATAAACTGCAGAGTCGGACCCCCAACAATACTATCCATATATTCTGTGATGTTGAGTGAACCCAGCTTCCGCTAAAACCTGAGCAAACAACAGTTAATTAGCGATGTATCATAACGGTAGAATCCCATCAGACACAATTGTGCAATAAACCAACAGTTTAGATTATCCTGTACACAACAAATTCAGGATCGAAGTACTCCTGAATAATTTCACGATATCGTTTAGGCACTGCCCCTCCTATATTCAGGCGGACATTTAGCCTAAAAACGAAGTGCTCTGTTTTCCGAACGAAGTATAAAAAAATAAAAAGCACATTCCGGAATGGGTACAAAATTTCTGGAATGGCGGAATGCCACTCTAGAATGGTAGACTGTCACTCAAGAATAAACGAATTTTTCCAGTTTTGGTCTAAATCTTGGTCTACATACGGCTAAGCTCGGCTTCTAAAATAGGGCATGCCATTCTGGAATTGCAGTGTTGGAGAAACAAATTTATTTTTCGTACACGTGTGATCAGTGTAAAGCGTTTCCGGAACTTTTAACAGCTCCGAACTTTGCCGAAATGTTCGCCTATTTTTTACAACACATCTATAGTGCATGGCTCTTAATGAAACTGTTTTTCGAGCTCAAACTGGTATGTTTGTAAAATTACTTTTCTCAGCCTATAAACACTTTTGAGAAAAAATAAGGTTATATTTCGAATCAGCACGTCGAGTTGTATCGAATCATGTATAAAACAATAAGTTGAAAAAAACAACTATAGCGAGTTTTACTAATAAACTAACATGACCGCTTTTTCGACAAACGTTTATTTTTCTTGAAAAACAGTAGAGATGGCGAAGCAATGATAATTACTCATGAAAATGGTTTATGAGCAAAAGATTCTAATGTTCTCTTGGTATTGAAATATGTACGCTGTGTCCTCGCATGAACTTCTTGAGAAAAATAATCGAGCATTTTCTCAGAAGTACTTCGATCCAAAACTTGTTGTGTACGAGATAATCGACTATGGAGAGTCTGAATCTGTAGATGGTTTCAAGTGAATAAACTTTTAAAATTTCTCGCTCACGTTGATATGAATAACAGTGTATAAAGAATTAACTTACCATGATATTTGCCATAACAATAAACATTGTAAACATAAATGCACTGTAAACAATTAGCGCTCCCTCACTACCTCGCATAAACACATTATTATTAAAGAATGTCGCATCAACATTGTACTCGCCGATGAACATTGATAGTAGCTTAGGCACAAAATTAAAAAAATGAAATTGTGGCATAATATCTTTCAGTAACATATAACATGATAAGATGTAGCCTATCCATATAAAGATGTAAAATGCAATGAATTTCAAAAATGTAAGTAACACGGTTATAAATAGAAGACCATGTTTGCCAAATTTGATACCATTCATTAGAACAAGTAACAGAGACGTCCAAACCGATAGTAAACCAACCGCACCCGTTTCCCACTGTTCACGGCATCGAAGTCCCGTTCGTCTTGTGCACTCGTTCAAATCAATGGTATAGATTATGGCACTAACCTAGAATACAAACAGAGTTCAACACCATTGACATACACGACGCATAGTTTTTTGTTATACATATCAGTAATATGATTAGTAGGAGGTAGGTCTTCTATTTATTTGAGTATCGAAAGTATAGTACTGCAACAAACAGCATTGCTTATTTGTAAAAGACATGTGTTGGTATACTTGAATATCGAGCTGTATTTTAAATCATCTGCAGGTTAATAATACATAAATTTTGTTTACTTTTTTTGATTGAAGACTTTCTAAAGTAGAGAAAATGTTGTCTTGTACTCATTTGTTTATTGCCATTTACAAATACACAGTGCTATATTTTGCAGTTCTTTTTATACTTCCGTTATGTATCTGTTTCTAGTATTGCATCATCATAGTTATTTATTTTCTATTTATTCTACATATGAACTGCAGATTCAATAGATTTGCTTTGACATAGACAACGGCTACTTACATACATATGAACTTCCAACATATTAATGAAAAATTTTCTAAAATATTTTTCTTTTTGTGTAAATAATTGAATAAATTCTTTGAGTAAAGTTAAACATGACAGTATTAAGAGCATAAATCGTAATGCTCTCAATGGTGTAGATGGTTGCAATGGTGTTTCCATATCATTTGTCAACATCCAACACGTTTGCTCGCACGTATAATTGACTAGTGAATAGTAATTCATACCTTGCAACGCCGGAGTTGGAGACCCGAGCGTGATACCAGTGTATAGTGTGACATAGATCACTTGTGAGCAGGAAATGATAAAGTAGAGAAAATTACCAAATAACTGGAATTTGAGATCGACACACATCTTTACCAAATAGTGATCGTATACAGGTTTATGATCGGCTTCAGCGATCAGTGTCAACGGATGGTGTTTTAACCAGTTCGTAGATGACCAAAGTTCTGGTGGATCATCGGACGAACGACCAAATATACAGCGTTGAGCACTCGGACGTGCATGAAGGCAATCATCAACGATTGACAAATCGGCACCTTCGTCACTGACAAACTGTTCTAATAGTAGTGGCACAAATGGAACAAGTTCTTTAATTGTTAGCATTCGCTGTAACGGTGTCTGATTAGCATTATCGTAATGTCGAAGAAAGTTTTTATACAAACTTTGGAGTATATGATGTTCTGGAGAAATACGAACAGAAATAAATAATCGAACGAAATTGGGTTTTCTCAAATAAATCGAATATTCAAGAACATTCATGTGTTGATCTGGATTATCAAATGGTGTAATTAGAATGTTGAGTATAGATGAAAAGCACTGCATATCCGACACAAAACAGGCGACAATATCTAGTTGATCATAGTCAATAGCCGTTTTGAGTGATTGATCGTTCATAAATTCTGATATGGCGACATTTTGTTGTAACCATTTCGATGTCAGAATATAGCGTACACATTTAAGACTACCTTTTTCAATAGCTATTACGAACGATGTTTTGCCACTAAAATTTTTCTCAACTAATCGTTCTAAAGCCTAGAATGCAAAGAATAAAATTTAAAAAGTGAATTCAGGAAATATTATAAGAGCCTACCATTAATCTGTTGTTACTGATATGTAATCTTTTCAACAAAGCAATTGCTCTACTCAACACGATATCATTACATTGTTCACAGACATAATGAAATACAGAGGAGCCCAAGTTATCTTTGATTGTTAATGAATTTGAATCATTTTCCATGAGTAAAGTGGCTGTAGATGAGTATCCTGCTTCAATGGCACATAATAGAGGTGTTTGACCTTTTGAGTTTGTTAGAGAGCAGGCGTAAGATGTTTCGTTCATCAGAATACGAACAATGTGTTCGTGTCCCAAACGAGCAGCTAGATGGATTAATGTTTCACCGCTGTGAGTCGCTGAATCACGTTGATGATTTTGTGATTGTTGTGCAGCTCTAACAACGCTGTCTCTATTACTATTCAAATAAGAAGCCATGGTTTCGTTTAATGGTGATGATTGAATGACAATCGCGCAAAGATTACTTGATTTTCGTCGAAATGGACTATAATGTCGCTGTGGTAAAGATCGTCTATAGGAGCCAAATCGATTTAGCAGTCCGCCCTCATTCCATTCTTCATCCTCCCACTCTACTGCAACTCCATCATCTGATGGTGGTGGATGAAGAAGAGCGACTGATGTCGACTTAGCGATGGTATGTGGAGTAAGATTATAATGTGGGGTTACTGACGGACTTATACTACCGCCAGAAAGATCGACAGTTGATGGCTGAGGAGAGACAGAACGGTTCACCGGTAATATTATACTCAATTGATTACGTTTCATTTTTTATCTAAAAACAGAGACAATTAAAAATATATTTTCTTGAATTTGTTTATAAGAAAAATTCTCTGTATATACTCTATTAACTCGTGAAATTGGGATAGAAAAAAGTCCAAAACCGTATAAGAACTTGTTAATTTGTTTAAAATTTTTTCCAGAGGGATAGTCGTATGACATCATAAGGTAGGAAACAGCGAAACAAATGATACACTGAAGTTTCAGACGAAACTCTTCTTCAGTTTTTTAAAATCAAATAAACAGGTGTATGTTTTAGATCAAGAAACTATGCCATATTTCACCATTTTTCACATATACGCACTAGAAGAAAAGTATGTTACGCAGCACTTTTAACGTAGCACTTAAAAAGTTTTACGTATCCGCATGACACCATCAAATACATAACACTTCAACAGTGTCTGTTAAACTTTCTTAGAATGTTTTAAAGAAATAGGAAAAAAATAGGAAATTCATATGAAGTCGAAATAGATTTGGCTGGAGATTTTTTGCAGACGAATTGAAGAAAAATCTTTTTTGCAAGTTACTTATTAGCATAAGAACAAGACTAATTCGAAAATATCTCTTCTCAGGTCTTTTCCTTTATAGGCGGCATTATCTGTAAAATAACTACCTTTCCTGCCGGCTACTTATAATCATATCTCTGCAAGATCTGAGTATAAACTTTCATAGGGTGTTGTCTAAATCCAATTTGCAAACAGGCTAGTTCATTTTTTTATTCTAACGACTTAAATATTTGAAAAACCTTAGATTCAAGCTCAGCTCATGTTTAAATGTTTGATTAGTAAGCTCGGCACACTTAAACTAGAAATGTATATGTAGTATCATCCTTGTTTTTGAACGGATGTGTTGCTC